GGGGGGGGGGGGGGGAGTTAATCAGAAAAAATATTTGTTAGATAACAGTTTGAAAGGAAACAAAAATAGCTAAAAAATTTAACAAATGCTTATTTGGCTTGCATAGATCCAGGATCCAGATTGACATGGATCCTAATTTTTAGTAGAATCCAACAGTACCTGAACTCCATGAACCGCATCAATATCATCAACTACATAAAAATGTCCGTCTTGGTCGAACTGTTCACTGATAATCTGATGATCAGCTGATTCTGGTTCCACCAGCTGGTCATCGGCTGTTCTATCTGTCAGCTGATCAACAGCTGATCTGTCCGTCAGCTGACCGATAGGTTCACGGCTGGCTATATCGTTGTGCGCCTGCGCCCTGTGTATTTTCAGCTGCTGTTTACGTGCAAATGACTAAAGCAACAAAATGAAACTATAGAAGTGGAGAAAAAAATTAATTTCTATCAAAATTAAAGGAATTGTTGTTAGTTTTAAAATTACGGAGACATTTTCCCTTTAAAGAAAGATTTACGAGCTTCAATTAATGAATAGATTTAAAATTAGCTGTAAAAGGCTTTTCTGTGATGAATCGTTAATTCTAAATTACAGAAACGTAAAAAAAATTATTTGTTTTATTATGGTTTTTATACTTCATTTAAATTCTTTTCAGGCTAGAGATGGCAAAAACATTGCTCATTTTATTAAGACTTATACGTTTATTCGACTTTAATAAGGTTCAACAAAAATTTTAGAGGTTTAACAAATTTCAGAATAGTTCATTCTAATGCAAGATTTTAACACTGAGAGAAGATACATGGAAAAATGAAGCTAAAACGATCGTTTCTTGGTTAGTTTTACCCTCACATTTTTTCTAATGGTACAAATAAAAGCAAACTTTTACTGATTGCAGCTTTGAAATATTGGAACCTTACTTTTATCAGTATCTTTAGAAAGTCCTAAATCCTTGAAAATCCTAAAGTAAAGAATCACGTTTTCCCCATATTTGTTTACCTTTTCACATGATTGACAGTTGTATGGTAGAATACCCGTATGCTGGGAACCTTCATGAATCTAATCCAAATATATTTATTACTAGCTGAAGTGCCCCTCGTTGCCCAGGTTACTCATAGTTATCCCTGCCGTTTACCCGCGCTTGGTCTTTAACAAAGAGTGCCCTTCGTTGCCCGTGGAATTTTAAAAAAATCATTTTTTTTAGCCTATGTCACTCCCAGGGTACCCATGGGTTCCCTAAAAAATTCAACCAATTTGGTCCAGCCGTTTGGCCTGCTATAACAGAGAACATAAAAATTAGCTTTATTTTATAGATGTATAAAATCAAATTAAATTTCAAATCTTACAAGTATGACGATTGCTGGTTAATTCTTGTCACCTTGAAACTTTAAAGGATTTTACGAAAAAAGTTAATAAAGGTTGTTAACAAGATCAAAATAAATCTACTTATATTATTTGGTTTGTTAGAGGTTACGTAAAGTAAATATATTCCTGGAGATTTGATTTTGATGTAAAACGTTTCCCACAGTATTTGCAGGCGAAATCTCTCCGCCCCTCGTGGATTACCTTGACACAATATTAATTAATTAATTGATTGCCAGATAAATCATTAATTAATAAAATGATTCCCATATAGCTCATTGATTGATTAATTGATTACCAGATAATTCACTGATTGATTAACTGATTGCCAGATCGCTTATTGATTGATTGATTACCAGATAAGTCATTGATTGATTGATTAAGTGCCAGATATTTTTTTGATTGATTGTCAGTTAAATCATTGACTGATAAATTAACTACTGGAAAATTCATTGGTTAATTAATTGATTGACAGATAATTCACTAATTAATTGATTAAATTGGATTACATGATTACGACCTACCTCTATGTGTGTTTTCAACTTAATACTGCTTGTAAGAAGTTTGTTGCACTGAGCACAAGAGTACATTTTCCGCGGAATCTCTTCACCACGTGCATTTACTCCATGCTTTCGCGCTCTATAAGAATATTGTGTCTAAGTGTCAGTGTACATAATTTAAGTCAGTCAAAATCAAAATCTTTAAACCTTTCTTGGATACATAATGTGAAAGATATTATTGTTTTTCTAGCTTAAAAAAGTGATTAAATCTAATTTTTTTACATTGTTTCTGGAGCAATAATCGGCAAGTCGAGCTTAAAGTAAAATAATAAATGTTCATTGTTCAAGGAGAAACACACGAAAATTCATCCAATTCTTTGGTCAAATAAAAGCATTTTAAGGACCGTTGTGAATTGTACGTACCACACTGTAAATGGAAATATTAAATATTTATATTAAAAATAATACAAAGACAATAAAGTTGATTAGAAAAACAAGAATTACTATTTAAAATCTTGTTTAATATTTATCCTACCTATGACTTGAGAGTGACATGGCCGTAGCGTACTTTAAAGAGCAGTACTCGCAGGCAAAAGGCCGGTCAGAAGAGTGCTTCAATCTCACGTGGTTTTGTAATGTTGTGTTGTTGATAAAACCTTCCTTCTTACATATATCACACTGAAAGCAAGTAAAATTCATTCAAATCTTTAAAAACGTTGGTTACATCTTAAATTTTCAATTCTAGTTGAAAGCAATTTGAGCAGTAAGAGCAAATACTTTCACCTGTAGCTTAAAAATCAACTTTTTAAGTGAAATCATAACTGGAGTCTAGCAGTCAGTAAGATCTGAGGATCTTTATAAACTAATGTGTGTTCTACATGCACAATTTTCTACATTTAATCACGTGTTCAACTCCATATAATTAATTGAGATTTTTAATGTAACTATTTAAAGGCCAATTTTTATAAAGAATAACCTGATTTTGTTTTATAATGCAGAACCTGAGTTTTATGGTTGAAAATGTTTTATAATTTAACTTATATATATATAATATTTAGCCAAAACCTATATATTGTTTTTAAAAAAGCCTAAGCCTCAAAACTTTGTAAATAATGAGTTTTATCTTTCAGAACACAATGGGTTAGTTGCCCCCTTCTAACCTGAAATTGTGTTTCTTTCTCCAGGTCTATAAATCATCCGTAATAAATACTTAAGGCTAATAAACGTTGAATGTTCTTTACACAACGTTGGAAAATTTTATTCCTACGGATGATTTATAAAATATATGTAGATAATTGTGATTGTTGTGATTCCTCTAAATAGTTCCGGGCTTGTATCCGTGCTTTAAACCAGGTGAAAAATTGCAAATATCTAAAATGAGCTTAAATAATATCCTGACTTCTCACAAATCTCTCAACATAATTCTCATGCTAGGCTGGCACGAGTCCTGTTGATATATAACCTCAACTTGCTCCACTGACTCGCGGAGAAATTCTACTGATCTTCAACATGCAGATATCTCCCCTGCGTGTTTGACTCCTGAGATGGTTCCGTTCTCTTCTAATCTGAGTTGGTTCAGTTCTCTTCTACTCCCACCTACTAATTTTGACATCCTGAGTCTAAGGAAGTCTATATAAAGGTGAGGATCAAAGCTCACAACCTTTGAGCTCTGGAACTCGGTCTAATTAATTTTATTTAATCAGTGCAAATAGAGGTGAGCCGAAGAGAAAGAGTTCATGCTCGCTCTTATGTTTGTAGTTATTACCTGGTCTCCTATAGGTAAAAATGAGCACACAGTCATCTTCATATTTCATTATTTTAAGAAGCCTTTCCCTCAGAAGGAGAAAAGACTTATTTTTTTAGCCATTATGCATTAGAATCAAACCTTACCTTAAGTATATTGTTTGTTTGTGAACAGGTTTTGCTGTGATGTTGACGGTAATACCATTTCATTAAAACTTTATTACAGTTGGGACAGGTTACCTAAATACCATTTCATTAATACTTTATTACAGTTGGGACAGGTTACCTAAATACCATTTCATTAATACTTTATTATAGTTAGGATAGGTTACCTCAATACCATTAATACTTTATTACAGTTCGGACAGGTTACCTAAATACCATTTCATTAATACTTTATTACAGTTAGGACAGGTTACCTATAAACCATTTCATTAATGCTTAATTATATTTAGGACAGGTTACCTAAACACCATTTCATTAATACTTTATTACAGTTAGAGCAGGTTACTTAAATACCATTTCATTAATACTCTATTACAGTTAGGATAGGTTACCTATAAACCATTTCATTAATGCTTAATTATAGTTAGGACAGGTTACCTAAACACCATTAATACTTTATCACAGTAAGGACAGGTTACCTAAATACCATTAATACTTTATCACAGTTAGGATAGGTTACCTAAATACCATTAATACTTTATTACAGTTAGGATAGGTTACCTAAATATCATTAATACTTTATTACAGTTAGGATAGGTTACCTAAATGCCATTGATACTTTATTATAGTTAGGGCAGGTTATCTAAATACCATCATTAATACTTTATTACAGTTAGGATAGGTTACCTAAATATCATTAATACTTTATTACAGTTAGGATAGGTTACCTTAATACCAATAATACTTTATTACAGTTAGAATAGGTTACCTAAATGCCATTGATACTTTATTATAGTTAGGGCAGGTTATCTAAATACCATTTCATTAATACTTTATTACAGTTAGGATAGGATACCTATCTATATTGTATAAATATATATACAACTAGTTGTATATTCATCTTACCTTCGTATTCCCATCTTGATGTTTCCTCTTAATGCCCTGATGATGTTCTGTTACATGAGTGTGCAGAGTCTGTTTATATCTAGCCTTGTAATCACAGTTCTCATACGGGCAGGTCAACCTGTACATAAAGTACATATTATACTAATACCAGGTCAACGTGGGGAGGAAGGCCAGCCACAACAATTTATCGTCCGAGCCACATTTTCCTTATTTTCTCGTCCAAGCTACCTCGGAATCCTCGTCCTTGTATTTAAACGTTTCCAATTCTCGAAGATAAAATTATTTTAAAAAATCTGGCCACGCTAGGGAATAAAATAAGGATAGACTAGACTACTGCAATGATAACATCATGTTAGAATCATCTTCAAACCCATGAGAATTTAGGTAAAACTTAAATCGCTTCTGCCACCGAAATGTAACCTTCGCAATATAAAACAAGTAGCAACAAATTTTGCATACCTCTGCCTATCATTTTTCACATTGAGCCACCCGGAAAAGTTCTATGGTTTTACTATAATTAACAAAAAAATTTTTTTTTCGATTTACAAAAATTAAATATTTAATTTTTGCCCTAACGTGGCCCGATTCTTAAAAAAACAGTTTTATCTGTTAGGATTAGACACTGAAATAAAAAAAATATTGGAAGGACAAGGATTTCGAGATTGCTCGGACGAGCACACCTCCCCGGAAGCGATTTTGACCTCGTTGTTGCGACCATTTTTCTAATTAGTATATTTACGCGTATGAAACCGAAAGAAAAACTAGTTAGAGAAGACGATGAAATCAAACTCGGTCCCATTCTGAATTGCGGCGTAAAATACCGATGGCGCGCAAGTTCAAAACTTTGAGTTTAAACAAAACAGTGAAGTGGTTGGAACTACTTAATTTTAAATATTTCTTGGTGCATATGAAACGATTTTTGACATAAAGTTATATTGAAATAGTAAACATTCAATGTTCGTTTTTGTGTAATGATGGTGTTTTTAGTGGATTGACTTTTTAAATTAAAATTCGAGAACAAAGGGAAAATCTCGACATCGATAATATAAAATTGTATCTTTAATAAATCATCATAGTTGACAGTTTCTTTGGGTCACTAAAAATACCGGTTTTGGCTCTAAAAAATAATTTATATCTGTAGTTTGAGAGTATTTGATGGAATAGAAGGAAAAAGTGAGTTCCATCTTAACATTAAAAAAAATAGTGAAAACATTCACCAACTGAAAATGGTTATTTGTATATTTTTATCCTGTGGGAGTTAAACAAATAGATGAAATATGAAATATTTAGTATATTTGTGTTAGACTGAGTTTCACTCATAAGTTACAAGAAGAAAAATTGTAGTTAAAAATGTTTTTGATTAATTCGGGGGGAGCGTACATATATAAATGCAGAAAACGCCACAATAAATGTAGCCCTAAGGCATTGAATAAAACGTCCCTCCAACTAAAACTTTGCTGCAATGGATAAATATGAGTTTCAAACATAAGAAAAAATTGTGACGGATAGATTTATAAAGATATTTATGTATAAAACTTCAATATCTTGTGCAAACAAAATCATTACATATATAGTTTTTTTTAGATATTTCCTAGTAAATCAGAAAAAATATTTACTATTATGTTGTCCTCAACATAAGTTCTTTGGTAATTTCTATGTAGATTCAGTTTTGGAAAAGAAAATCAGGAAAAAAAATTCTGTTTTGTATTTTTTCTACACTGTTTGGTATGAATTGGAAAAATTTAAATATTTCGAATTTCTGATCTTATGAGGAGTAGATGAAAAAAATATCTTTTTCCTCAATTTCTTTGATTCAGTGAAATGGAAACCAACAGAAATGTATAGTGGGTTATTTGCTTGATATTCACATAAGCTGGTATCGTGCTAAAATATCCTGGACTTTTATGAAGTCAAAAATCCAGCATTAATTGGTAACTCAAGGCATAAATTTTTATCAATTTTTTTTTTCTTTTCCTTCAAAACTGTAAAATGGGGTTTCAAAAACACAATATAAACAAAAATAGATTCAAGAAGATTTTTTTCTAATTCGTATGCTTCCTCAAAATTTTCTTAATTTAGATCCAATGGTATTTTGGCCGTAAAATCCAATGGGCCCGATGAAATATTTTGATAAAAACAGATTTGTATTCCCATGCGTTTCATTCAACTTATAAAATAAATTTTAGAGGTGGTCGTAACAACGAGGTCAAAATCGCTTCCGGGGAGGTGTGCGAGACAATGATGAGAATGAAAATTATTTACAGAAGAACAAGTGGAATCTTAGAATTTGAAACTGAGTAAAATAACAATAAAATAGATTACCAAAGATATTGTCCATCTCCATGCATCTTCCAATGATGCTCATCCAATAAATGTCTGAAAACAAAAATCATAAAAATCGTTTCTAAATATTTTGTAATAATATCAAAGTCCGTATCAAAAAACAGTGTTTATGAAGTTACTTCAATAGAAAATCGTTGTTTTCCTGTCCTTTAGTGTGTTCTTACATCTGAGGTATTCACTTACTTGTAGCTGTATCCCTTCGTACAGACTGTACACACGTGTTTTTTTGCCACGTGGTTTTCCATGTGTGTGAAGAATTTCTTGGCAGATAGTCGAGCCGCAGCGCACTGACAACATTTATATAGGTTCCCTGAACAATAGATTTCAGGTTTAATAATAACAATGAAGACATTGGTATTATTTTATACAGAGATAAACAGGTATCTAAAACCTATCCAAACTCTAATTTTCAAGTCCTTAGATCTTTGCAACCTGCAGTCAAAGTCATAGGCATTTGCTATTTCTAAATATGAACTCTAATAGATCCACCAGTCAAACCTTGCAATATCAAAGGTTTATAACATCAGGTTACAAAGATAAAGCGATCAGAAAATAGACAAGTTCTTTTACTAACATGTGATGGTGAGCTAGGTACGGCTAATACAATTACTACTTCTGTTTGCTAGTTCAGCCATTCAGCAATCTTATAAGCTGAAAAAAGTTATGAAAGGAACATGGAAAAGCATGGCATAGGTTACATAAACAACGATGGTGAAAGATATTAAAACAAACAACAATTAATGGGTAGAGATCGGGCTGAAAAACCCTAATGTGGGCAAGACTTTAAACTCAAGTCCTCATTTAGGAGCCTTAAGCCATCCCTGCAAAATGTGATTTGCTTGATTTGATTTGATGATTACTGTCTATGACAATCTAACCTTTATGATTTCCTTTATCCTCTTCACTGAGTTCTCTATTCTTATGTTCTATTCTTGGTTTAAAGCAAAGAGGACAGGGTTTATCTGCAGGTTCATATTTTACACCTAAAATAGGTCACTATCAGATACAGGTTGTCCCACATCATATTGGTTGTATAAAGCTCTAATTTGCGTTTTCCGGGGCTAATCAGAAAATATTAAAATAATTAAAAGCATAATATAAAAATTTGTTTGCAGAAAATAATAGGTTTTTATAATAACATGGGCGTATTTTGGCGTTAAAGCTAAGAGATATGGGACGCTCTGCACGTCCCGCAAAGACGACTTCAAGGTCGTCTTGGATGTTAAAAAATTATTTGCGGCATTTATTTGTCAATTTTATTTTTGAAATAAAATTCTTGACTTAATCACCAAATTCCTCGCATTTCCAAAGTGTGGTCTGCTTTTTTGTGCTTTAAAAACTATCGGAGATGTGAAGAATTTCGTTCAGATTTCTTAAATATTGGTTTTTAAATTTAAACGAATTTCTTCATATTTCCGGTAATATTGAAACATAAAAAAGCAGACCATATTTTGGAAAAGCTATTACTAAGGGAATATTTTGATTATTGTTTCATACATATAAAAGAAGGTTAACGAATGAATGTTAAAAAAAATTTCTGGACACTCTGTATTTGCGATAAATTTTATGTGCCAAAAAATCTAAATTAAGATTTTTTCATCCATGCCATGACACAGTTCAATCAGGATGACTTAAGAGGAATATTTTTTTAATTGCCTTCGTGAAAACATGAAAAATTCCCTGTTTAAAAGAAACATGATCTTGTGATATAAGGGAGAGTTTCCGTGTTTTCTTGTTTTGATTGAATACAAAATATTGTTAAAAATTGTTTTCATTTCAAGTTTCTACATTTTTTAAACCATGAAAATTACAAATTATTAATGATCTGTGTAAAAATGATCATCGAAAAATGTTATGTAAAAATATGAATCTTATTGCAAAAAATTGCAATATATCAATGGATAAACATTATGTTAAACAAAATTTAACTTACTCCATGATACCTTCAGATGACAATTAGAAACTACCATTTATTTTTGAATTTTTAGATCTCAGACATAATCTAATTATGTTGACAATTTTGATTATCAAGAATTAAATGAGTTAATTTGTTTGTTTTTATGTATCTATTATGCCTCTTTTGCAAGTTCGAAATAAACTTTCAATAATAATAATAAAAAGAATAATAAATATATATAATGATAATGTAACAATGGGTGATTTTGTTAATCTTTTACGATCAGCGATTCAAGGATCTTTTTAGATCGCTCAGATTATAGCTGGCTAGGGGCATAACCCCCCCCCCCTTTTATACCGTTCGGTTGGACTTTTGAATCCTATTTTGAATTCTAACGGATTTATTTGAGTTTGCATGTGAATTCTATAAATAACCCAAGCCAAGCTGAAAGTTCCGTTATTCCAGAAGCACGGGGGCTGGGGGGGCTAGCCGGCCAGCGCCCGGGGAACTAGGGTTAAATGAGAGCCCAGGGTGGAGCGAAATGAAGGGAAAAGAATCAGTTGGTCGTCAGCTCCCTTAAACTGAGGTTCCCTTGAAGATTCCCCATCACTCTGAAACTGCTTCAATTCATAATATCCTATTAGTATAGTATCAATCGTTTTATTTTGTATCTTTGTAAATAATAAATTGTAAGAAAAACCGACTCGACGAATATTATATTTACAAGTGTTTGCATTTATTTATTTTCTTTCATATACAATAATAACACTTACCATTTAATGATTCAGTTTGTGTTAATCCTTTATGAACGTGAACATGTTGGTGAAAAGATCTGATAAGAAAAATATATAAATATGTTAAAATGTTACAGAACTAAAAAATTAGAAATGTGCTGAATCCTTCACCTGATAGTTTTTAGACCAGATTCAGAGCATTCATCTTTACAGCAAGTATAGAAACCCTTACTCTTCTCATCCTTTGATCTACAATCATATAATTAAAATGATAAAATAATTACAAATTCACAAATGTTACAATTATTATCACTAGAACAATACATCATACAGTTGTACTGATGTAACATTACAAGTTTGACCTGTGTCCCATATACAAAGTTCAGAAATATTACAATTATTAACACTAGAACAATACATCACAGTTGTACTGATGTAACATTACAAGTTTGACCTATGTCCCATATATATAATTCAGAAATGTTACAATTATTATCACTAGAACAATACATCACAGTTGTACTGATGTAACATTACAAGTTTGACCTATATCCCATATATATAATTCAGAAATGTAATGATAAAAAATCACTGAAAGAATTAGATATAACCTACTTGTGACTAATGGCTGATTTCTGACAAAGTACGCATTCCCTTTTCTGTAGTTCCCTGAATAATTAACATTGATTAATGCAGTTCTCCTAAGAAAGGAGAAACTAACCTCTAATCCCTTGTCTTTATCTAGGAAAGGGGAAACTAACCTCTAATCCCTTGTCTGTATCTAGGAAAGGGGAAACTAAAACGTTTATACTCCAATAATATTAGTAATAATAAGAAGTCAACCAACAAATAAAAAAAAGAATGAAAGATTCAGATAAAGATAGCTTAAATCTTATTTATTTTTGTTTATCTAAATTGAGAAGTTTAGAGATGACTGTTAAAAATCAAACCAATCGGTAATCGGCATCATACATTTGAAAGTAGACATAAAATAAGATGAACTCTTGTAGGAGAATAAGTTCAGAAATAAAATTTTAAAAAACAGGATTTAAAAAAATGTAAGCCTCCACGTAAACGTCTAAAAAAGATTCATGGACCCCCCCCCCCGCTACCCCTCCAATTCGAATCGCTAATAAGGGTCGAAGTGGAAGGGGGGAAGCGTAATATTTCTCAAAATTTCACTAACTCTAGTACCTGATTCTATCATGGATAGCCTCTCCTCCCTTCTCCTGAGGTTTGCCTGGACCCTGGTGACGAGACTGATCTTCATGAACATGATAAACTTCTTGATGAATAGGTTTATGTTCCTGTGCTAAGAGATGTTGATCCTGTAATTCCAACTCCATACTGGGCAGAGATATTACTTAAACCACAACAAAGACAAGGTGTGGGGGGGGGGAGACGAGGGAGTTCCATACAATAATTTAAATTAATTGTTAAGTAATCACTAAAAAAGTGCGTTTGATTCTGAAAATTCCAACATTAAAAACATCGGTTTCTGCATGAAACGATAATTTGCTATTGGCCTTGCTTCATAAAGGAAAACTTGTTTGTGGTATGTGCTACTTCTCATATATTTTTACTCTAAGAATATAAAAAGACGTAAAAACGTCCGCAAAATATGAACAATTTTGTTGCTCGCCGGCTATAGGGTGGGATGAGAAGGATGACGAAAATAGGCCGCTTTATTACTTGGATATCATTGATGTAAATACGTTTTAACTCTTTCCTTTCCGGTGCTGTATCATCGCAGGTAACTATTAAGATATCTCCATTTTCCGTCCTCACCACTTGAACCTTGTGATCTCCCAGTATCTAGAGATATAGTAGAGTTAAACCAATTATTAAGATATCTCCATTTTCCGTCTTGACTACTTGAACCTTGAGATCTTCAAGTATCTACAGATATAGTTGAGTTAAATTAATTATTAAGATATCTCCGTTTTCCGTCTTGAACCTTGATATCTCTAAGTATCTCCAGAGGGGGTAAGGCCGGCCGCGCCCGTATAACCTCCATCCCGACATTTACTCACAAACTTAGACTTGCGGCAACGCGCTCACCCGTAGCACTTCCGCACACATATATCTTCCGGCTAAATGTCTTGCGATTTTCTCCTGAAATATAATATTTAGTACATCTCGGCTGATGTTATTCTTTTTTTAAATTTTTTTGAAGGAAGAGATAAATTCAATTTTTACCAGAAATAACACAGTTTTGTGTGCAATTCGGTTTAAAATTATCTTAATCAATCTATCCATCTATCTACTTTTCTACCTGATTTTAGATAATTTAAGACCCAATCGCAAAACTGCGTTATTTTTGTTAAAGATTGAATTTCTCCTTGCCTTCAAAAACATTTTTAGAGAAGATCAACATCAGCAAACATGTACAAAATATTACATTTTGGGAGGAAATCGCAATAAACCACAGTTTTATAACAAAAATTTAATAACTATTGCCCCAGTGAGCGAGAATGTTCACTTATAAAACAAAAAATATGATGAAGAAAGCGCTATGTTTGTGAGCAAATTGCGGGATGGAGGCTATACGGGTGCGGCTTGCTTTCCCCCCCCCCCTCATCCAGAAGTATAGCAGAAATAAAAATTTTATTAAGATATCTTCGTTTTCCGTCCAAGTTCCTTGAATCTTGTTATCTCCAAGTATCTAGAGATATAGCAGAATTTAACCAATTATTAAGGTATCTCAGTTTCCGTCAAAATTACGTAAACCTTTGGATATCTTCGTTTTAAGTCCTATCCAATTGAACCATATGATTTCCAAGTAACTGAAGATACAATAGCATTAACCCAAGTATAAGATATCTCTATTTTCCGTCTTAGCTACTTCAACCTTGAGATCTCCAAGTAACTAAAGAAACAATAGCATTAACCCAAGAATAAGATATCTCTGTTTTCCGTCCTATCTACTTCAACCTTGAGATCTCCAGGTAACTAAAGATACAAACAATAGCATTAACTCAAGAATAAGATATCTCTGTTTTCCGTTCTATCTACTTCAACCTTGAGATCTCAAAGTAACTAAAGATACAATAGCATTAACCCAAGAATAAGATATCTCTGTTTTCCGTCCTAACTACTTCAACCTTGAGATCTCCAAGTATCTAGAGATAACACAAAATAAGACCAATTTATAAGATAACTCCGTTTTCCGTCCTGACTACTAACCCTTGTTATTAAACAAATTATTAAGAAATCTACATTTTTAGTCCTGACTTCTCCAGGTAACTGAAGATATAGCATTTCAAAATTCCGTTTTTCCGTCTTAAATCTTAAATTGAAGAATTTGACCTCGTTTTCTGAATTCTCCTTGAAGTAAGTTATTTTCTGGACATCATCCCTGCTCCCCACCTGATATAATTTGAATTCAGAACATTTGGATACTTAAGTCAATATCCCAGTGATGTAAATGTTCTTGTATTACATTCCAAGCCTTCCTCATGGTGTGTATTTTTTTCAAATTTCAAAGATCTTATTTATTCATTTAATAATCATTACCCCCCCCCCCCCCAAATTTTCTAATAAAAGCCACGAAAAGAATTCTTATATTAGAGAAAAGTGGGAAAATGATATCTAAAAAATCCCCTAAATGCTGAATCTAATGTTTGTGGGGGGAAAATAAGTCGTTGAATGAAAATTCTTGAAATGAAAATCAATAATGATGTGGAAAGGGAACAATGGATTTCTACAAAAGGACTGTTTCTAAAAATCAAGTAAGACTAAGATTGTGCCCGTTTTAGGGATTTTAGCATTTTCCCTAGAAACAATACCTAGATCCACAGGAATTGTTCAGCTATTAACATGATGGGGCAACATCA